CAGTGTTTCCCAAAGTTGGGGTCAGGACCCAAAGTTGGGGTCCCGAAACATCAAGATGGGGTCCTGAAAAGATTTTTGGAACTAATTATGTTTTTTCCTTATTGTTACAAAGGAGTGAGGTTAGTGTATTTAAAATAGATAAATGTAGTATAAAAATATTGTTACTATGCCCATGTTTAGTTGACCTGATTCAAATGTTTATCATCCAAAAATATCAGGGGGCACAGGTCTCTGCTACTGTTATTTTGTGGGTCAAAAGCTGACAAGTTTGGGAACTACTGCACTTTGGTTCCTAAAGTTGGGCTTGGGACCCAATTATGTGTCATGAAGCACCTTGGAAAATCTCCAGAAATCACTTTAAAGGGTAATAAAATAATTGCTGATGTAATAATTTCCTATTACAAAACCAAAAATCAGTATAATAAGTAATTATATTTGTGTACAAGCTGTTTAGATTGTCAAAAAGCCTGTGTTTTTAGGGTTATTAACGAAGTTCACGTACTCAGACCAGTAATATTTGGGGTCACATGTTTTTGCCATGGATATTTTGTGGGTCAGAAGATAAAAAGTTTGGGAACCACTGGTTTAGAGAGACAGTACCGGAGAAAAACATTACAATAAACATTACATCCCACTTTGTAAACCAGACAGAAGCAGTGACAGCTTTGTGTGATTCATTTTCAGGGGTCTCCTCTCAGCTGACTTCAGCCAGGGGTGGGGGTAGGGTTGGGGGTGCAGCTAGAGGCTTCAGTGAGTGGGACTGCTTTAGGAAGGGGGAGGGGCTCACTTCCACGCTCGCTGCTTGCAGAGGAAAGGAGAAGAAAAGGGAAAAAGTGCTTGGAAAATGCTGTCACTAAAGCTCCTAAAAGTCTCCAAAAACACCGGGAAAAGTCGCTAGATTTGTCGCAAGTCGCTTTTTGGGAAAAAAAGTCGCTAAAGGGGTCTAAAAAGTCGCTAAATCTAGTGACAAAGTCGCTAAGTTGGCAACACTGCTCATGTGTTAATGTGTTTTGTCAAACCCCAAAACACATTACGGCAAAGGCTGGTTCACCCCAAAGATCCGGTGCCCCGGCACAAACAGAGCAATGTTGTATATGCTGTTAAGTG